TAAATAAATACTTTGACTTCACCTCATTTTGCAAGATAACTGTGCTGAGAATAGAATTCTAGAATATCAATTTTCTCTCCTCTCTGAGCACATTAAAATAATATATTACTGGGCCGGGCGCGGTGGCTCAAGCCTGTAATCCCAGCACTTTGGGAGGCCGAGGCGGGTGGATCACGAAGTCAAGAGATCGAGACCATCCTGGTCAACATGGTGAAACCCCGTCTCTACTAAAAATAAAAAAAAAAATCAGCTGGGCATGGTGGTGCCTGCCTGTAATCCCAGCTACTCAGGAGGCTGAGGCAGGAGAATTGCCTGAACCCAGGAGGCGGAGGTTGCGGTGAGCCAAGATCGTGCCATTGCACTCCAGCCTGGGTAACAAGAGCGAAACTCCATCTCAAAAAAAAAAATAATAATAAAAATAAAAAAATAATAATAATAATAATATATTACTGTATTTGGGCATCACTGTGGATACCGACAAATCAGCTCTCAGTCTGATTTCTTTTCCCATGAAATGAATTGCCTTTTCTTTCTGACTGCTTTTACAATTTTTTCTTTTTCTTGAGTGTTCTATTTTAGAGCAATAGGTCTAGATGAGTATTTCTGTTTATTATTTAATCTGCATTGAATTTTTGGGCTTCCTGGATTGGCATATTCCAGTGTTTTGCAACCTACTGGAAAAACATCAGCTATTATTTCTTCAAATACTGCATCTTTCCAGTTGTAGCTCTTATCTCCTCTATCCTCTATGCCACTTAACTTTTGTTTTATATTTTCTATGTCTTTGACTCAATGAACTGCACTCTGATTTTTTTCTTTCTTTTTTTACTCCCAATATTACATTAGTAATGCACTCTGGATAATTTATTCAGATCTACTTTCTAGTTCATTAACTCTCATGTCAGTTGTGTCTAATCAATTTAACTCACTCATTGCATTTTTATTTTTTTTTATTTTTGAGACAGAGTCTCGCTCTGTTGCCCAGGCCGGAGCGCAGTGGCACCATCTCGGCTCACTGCATTCAACCTCTGCCTCCCAGGTTCAAGCGATTCTCCTGCCTCAGTCTCCTGAGTAGCTGGGATTACAGGTGCATGCCACCATGCCCAGCTAATTTTTGTATTTTTAGTAGAGACAGGGTTTCACCATGTTGGTCAGGCTGGTCTCGAACTCCAGAACTCATGATCCACCTGCCTTGGTCTTCCAAAGTAGTGGGATTACAGGCATGAGTCACCACGCCCAGCCTTCCTTGTATGTTTATAATATTTTTGTCTTTGAGTTCTTATTTCTGGGAACTTTACCTATGGAAATTCTTTGAGGCCTGGATTAGAGTTGAGTTCCTAGATGTATGTTTTCCTCTGGCAGTCATCTGGGGATGCCATCAACCAGGTTGCACTTCAAAATACATTACCTACTTTAGATGTTCTGATCCATACAGGTAGCATTAATAATTCAGGCTTCAAACCCACATTAGAGGCCAGGTGTGGTAGCTCATGCCTATAATCCCAGCACTTTGGAAGCTGAGGTGGGAGGGTCACCCGAGGTCAGGAGTTCAAGAACAGCCTGGCCAACGTGGTGAAACGCTGTCTCTAATAAAAATACAAAAAAATTAGCCGGGTATAATGGTGCATGCCTGGTGGGCACCTGTAATCCCAGCTACTTGGGAGGCTGAGGCAGGAGAATCGTTTGAGCCTGGGAGGCGGAGGTTGCAGTGAGCTGAGATCAAGCACAGCACTCCAGCGTGGGGATGGAGTGAGTGAGACTCCATCTCAAAAAAACAAAAACAGGCCAGGCTCAGTGGCTCACGACTGTAATCCCAGCATTTTGAGAGGCCGAGGCAGGCAGATCACGAGGTCAAGAGATTGAGACCAGCCTGGCCAACATGGTGAAATGCTGTCTCTACTAAAAATACAAAACTTAGCTGGGCATGGTGGCACATGCCTGTAGTCCCAGCTACTCAGGAGGCTGAGGCAGGAGAATTGCTTGAACCCAGGAGGTGGAGGTTGCAGTGAGCTAAGATTGTGCCACTGCACTCTAGCCTGGCAATGGAGAGAGACTCTGTTCCCTCCTCCCCCCACTCCCCCCAAAAAAAAGAAGAAGAGAAGAAAAAGCCCACATTAGATCAGCCTTGTTACAAATTGTCAGGGAAATTTTTTTCCCCGTCTACCCAGCACCAAAGTCAAGAAAGGCAAAATTCTTTGCTGCCCTTCTTCATGGCAAATTTACTTTGTGTTCATGTTCAGGGTGTAGTTGTTTGGAATCTCAGCTTTACCTAAGGAATCTCCTGTTAGTGTCTTCGTATCAGGTGGGCCCAGGCATCATCTCTGGTCTCCTTTACTCCACAAGCATTCTGACAGATAGCTCAAGTTCACCTAGTTTGGTTTGGCAGATACTCGTAGGGCAAAAGCTGATGTCAAAGCTCACTTTCCCCAGATTACTGTTTTCACTGCACGTTTGTACTGTTGAAAATTTCCTGCCAACCCAGTGCTTTTGAAAAGATACTTTCTATTTTTATCCAGCTTTGTGGTTACTTTCATTGGGACGTTTACTATTACATTCCCAGAAGTGGAAGCCTGGATGTTTTTCTAGTCCACCCCTTTTCTGGGCTGTGTCCCTTTGAGGGTTTCATGCTGATATAGAGATCTCAGTTCCAATTGCCTACCTTGAATGGGTCCAGGACCTTGTTTTCTCTCCCCGGCACAATGACCAAAATTCTAGGATTTATCTTGCCAGCTAATGTTGGTGAACACCGTTAGGACAACTGTGGCTTCAGCATCTTTTTGGCCACTGGGGGTTACAGACACCAACAAATTATGTATACTCACTTTATCTGTTGGGGCCAGTTGTATGCATAGGAAAATGAAGACAGGACTGGGCGCAGTGGCTCATGCCTGTAATCCCAGCACTTTGGGAGGCTGAGGTGGGCAGATCACCTGAGGTCAGGAGTTTGAGACCAACCTGGCCAACATGATGAAACCCTATCTCTACTAAAAATACAAAAACTAGCTGAGTGTGGTGGTGGCTGCCTGTAATCTCAGCTACTCGGGAGGTTGAGATAAGAGAATTGCTAGAATTTGGGAGGCGGAGGTTGCAGTAAGCCAAGATCATGTCATTGCACTCCAGCCTGGGCAACAAGAGTGAAACTCCGTCTCAAAAAAAAAACAACAAAACAAAAAAAAGAAGACAGGCCAGGTGCAATGGCTCACACCTGTAATCCCAGCACCAGCACTTTGGGAGGCCAAGGTGGGCGGATCACCTGAGGTCAGGTGTTCAAGACCAGCCTGGCCAACATGGTGAAATCCTGTCTCTACTAAAAAATGCAAAAATTAGCCAGGCGTGCTGGTGGACGCCTGTAATCCCAGCTACTTGGGAGACTGAGGCAAGAGAGTTGTTTGAACCTGGGAGGTGGAGGTTGCAATGAGCTGAGATCATGCCACTGCACTCCAGCTTGGGCAACAGAGCAAGACTCCTTCTCAAAAAGGTTCTGTGACTCTAGGTAGCTTCATCTTCTTGTGAACTTCCATGTTTATGGTTTTCCTTCAAGGCAGCTTAAAAAGGCAGAATTTTTGTTTATCTTCCCATTAGCCAGGTGCTCACCTGCTTTACCCCTCATCTCTTAGGAAATGGAAGTCCACCCTGGCAGTGGTTCTGAACCTTATTAGAGTAATGGGATGCTTGGAGAATTTGCTGAAAGCTATGAACCTTCCTCTCAGGCCTCGGCGTTGGTGGGCTTCTGCTTCCTCAGGAATTCACATTACCTGTATATACCCCTGGGACTAATCAGAAAGCTTTAGGCTCTGTTTGATTGGTCGATTCTATACTTGACAGTTTTCATATAGTCAAGTGGTGGTTTTTGACAATGGGCCTAATCCATGTCAGTCTAAGGGGAAGTTTTTGTTGTTTCCTTTATAGTGGGTCTGATTTTCCTAACTGCGTTTAGCCAACAGCAATTCCTGGGGGTACTGTTGGTTTCACCCTGATTTGTTATGAGTTTAGACCTGTTTTAAGAAGCCTGTGCCTCTTGATTTGTTCTTCAGTGTTTTTTTTTTTTTTTTTTTTTTTTTTCTAGTGTTTTTTTTTTTTTTTTTTTTTTTTTTTGAGACAGGGTTTCACTATGTTGGCCAGGCTGGGCCCAAACTCCTGACTTCATGAACCACCTGCCTCGGCCTCCCAAAGTGCTGGGATTACAAGCATGAGCCACCATGCCCGGCCTTTAGTGGGTTAATAAACACAAATGATCTGTTTCTCTTTTTGCCTGTGTTTAAGTCTTGGTCTTTTTGTGACTCCCTGCATTTCTTTCTTTCGAGACAAGAGTTTTACTCTTGTTGTCCAGGCTAGAGTGCAATGGCGTGATCTCACTGCAACCTCCGCCTCCCGGTTCAAGCGATTTTCCTGCCTCAGCCTCCCAAGTTGCTGGGATTACAGGCATGTGCCACCATGCCCAGCTAATTTTGTATTTTCAGTAGAGACGGGGTTTCTCCATGTTTGTCAGGCTGGTCTCAAACTCTTGACTTCAGGTGATCCACCCGCCTCGGCCTCCCAAAGTGCTGGGATTACAGGCATGAGCCACTATGCCTGGCCTGACTCCCTGCGTTTCTAACCTTGCCTTTTTCTTCAACTCTCTGCGCTCCTTTCCCTCTGTAGGATGAATGGGGTGAAGGAAGTCAGACGTGCTTGTGCTGCACTTCTCTGGGCACTTTGGCAGCTGGTGGGGAGCAAGGGAATGGGACGTGGGGTGGGGATGCGCCCTCAGCTCTGCTTCTACCACAGCAGGCCTGCTTTTATGTGCTTTATATACGACAGCTGAAGTGACATTTATTTTGAGCACAGTTCCATGGGGGGATCTCTGGTGTCTGTGTGTGAGTTCTCCCTGAGCAGGAGTCCTGTCTTTTGGGCTGCTGGTAGAGACAGAGAGAAAAGGCACTTGTGTCTAACCCAGCCGGTCTCTGACACGGTGGCAGATTCCCCTTTCCCCCGACCCCTGATTCTCTTCCTTGTTTCAGTTCCAGGGAGGATGATACCTTTGATGATGAGAGTGTTAATCCTGCTGCTGCTTCCCGAGGGTCAGGCTGCTCCAAAGGATGGAGTTACAAGGTAACAGGGTTATGAGGGCAGGGCCTGGGCTGGGAGGAGGGAGAGTCTCTAGAGAATCCGAGGGTGTGTTGGGCCCTCTGGGAGGCAGGAGATGGGCTGTAGGTTCCCTGATCTCTGTATCTCCCGCCACCAGACTGGGGTGTAGGTTCCCTGATCTCTGTGTCTCCCTGCCACCAGCCTCCCACCTTGTGCCTGTCAGAGTGCTACAAAGTGAAAATTCGGTATATGCTTGCTGGACCCCTTTGGAATTCGGGAACTCAGCTCCAGTGCGTTATGAAGCATAGGGAAGAAGCTATGGCCCCAGGGAAGTGGGGGCTTCAGTTTTGTTATCGAGACCTTATGGCGGGCTGGGCATGGTGGCTCATGCCTGTAATCTGAGCTCTTTGGGAGGCTGAGGCAGACAGATCACCTGATGTCATGAGTTCGAGACCAGGCTGGCCAACACGGTGAAACCCCATTTCTACAGAAATAAAAAAATTAGCCAGGCATGGTGGCCCATGCCTGTAATCCCAGCTACTTGGGAGGCTGAGGCAAGAGAATCACTTGAACCTGGGAGGTGGAGGTTGCAGTTCGCCAAGATCAAGCCACTGCACTCAGCCTGGGTGATGACAGAGCAAGACTCTGTCTCAAACAACAACAACAACAACAACAACAACAAAACCTTATGGCAGGAACACCAAGGAAGTAGAGATCATTAGCATGTGACTTCTACATTATAGGAAGGCTTTATTTATAAATTTCTGAAGGCTTTATTTATAAATACTATGCAGTGGGTATGCTAGGTAGAAGGGGAAACAGCCACAGGAACAGCCGCACGGGCTGGTAGCAGTGACAAAAATTGCTGCAACTCCTGCCAGCTCTCTGGCATCACAGGTCTGGGTTGACTTGAGCAAACAGTTAACCCAGTCCAGAAGTAGGAGCATATTTGGAGCTTGAAAGACTGACAGAGATCCTGAGCAGCTTGAAACTCCAGAACCAAGAGATATACCCTGTCCTTGAAAAATTATGAGTCAATTTTATGTCATGGAGCAAACTGGGTCTATGTAAATCTGGGCAGTGCCACTGGGCTCAGAGACCAGCCCCTCGGCTCCCAGCATGGAAGGAGAGAGGTGCCATGGCCCATGTCATCCTGCCACTCACTGGGCTGTCTTCTTTTGGATCTCTAACTTGTGTCTACTAGGTGTGGCCTCCTCTGGCCTCTACCTAACCAGATGTTTTGTTTGGGTTTCCATTTAAAGTCTAAGGTAGCCAACGGCAAAAACGGAGTCTGAGGGAGTTAAGGATTTGCTTCCAAGAAGACCAGAAGAGCCTCCTCCCTACAAGGTTTTCAGAATTTTGGGGGCAACTCTCTTTAGGTTTGGGGAGAGAACTCTGCCAGGAGATTGGGGGCAGAAGGTTGATAGGTTGAGCCCTCAGGGAGGTTCTCTGCAAGGCTACTCCTCCCCTCCCTCCTCCAGGCCAGACTCTGAAGTTCAGCATCAGCTCCTGCCCAACCCGTTCCAGCCTGGCCCAGAGCAGCTCAGGTGAGTAGGCTGGGCTGGGGAGTGCCTTCAGGGAGAAGACTAGGCCCGGCTACAGACTCATGTCTCCCGGCTGATTCTCTACTTTTCTGACAGACTTCTGCAGAGCTACCTAAAGGGACTAGAAAGGACAGAAGTGAAGCCGGAGCATCTGAGCCGGGAGCAGGGTGAGGGGCTGGACTGATGTGGCCAGGGACGGGAGGCTCTGGGCACCTGGACCTGGGACTGACCTTGGCTGCCCCATTGACTCCTGCCTTCTCCACCTCTCCCGGCACCTCTTCTAATCTAGCTTCTCTTCTCTAGTTCTCCTCTACCTCTTTGCCCTCCATGACTATGACCAGAGTGGACAGCTGGATGGCCTGGAGCTGTTGTCCATGTTGACAGCTGCTCTGGCCCCTGGAGCTGCCAGCTCTCCTACCACCAACCCGGTAAGCTCTGCCGGATGAAGGTCCTCCCATAAAGGAGACCCAGCACTTTGGGGCTTTGGTCTTTCTCATCATAACTCTTTTGGTGAACCCTCTGTAAAAGAAGGCCTCAGAGCTTGCACGTCAAAGATGCAAGGGTGTGTTGGGGAGGGTCAGGACTCCTGGAAATATCTCTGGTCACTGGAGACCCCACAGTGACTCTGCTTCCACAGGTGATCTTGATAGTGGACAAAGTGCTGGAGACCCAGGACCTGAATGGGGATGGGCTCATGACCCCTGCAGAGTTCATCAACTTCCCGGGAGAGGCCCCCAGTCACGTGGAGCCCAGAGAGCCCCTTGCTCCGTCTCCTCAGGAGCCACAAGCTGTTGGGAGGCAGTCCCTGTTAGCTAAAAGCCCATTAAGACAAGAAACACAGGAAGCCCTGGGGCCCAGAGAAGAAGCTGAGGGCCAGGTAGAGGCCAAAAGGGAGTCCTTGGAGCCTGTCCAGGAGCCTGGGGGCCAGGCAGAAGCTGACAGAGATGGCCCCGGGCCCATAGGCGAAGCTGGGGGCCAGGCAGAGGCCGAAGATGTCCCCAGGCCCAAAGGGGAAGCTGAGGGACAGGCAGAGGCCAGAGAGAATGGAGAGGAAGCCAAGGAACTTCCAGGGGAAACACTGGAGTCTAAGAACACCCCAAATGAGTCTGAGGTACACATTGTTCAACTGGAGAATGATGAGATCTAGATCATGAAGATACAGGCTTGTACCCCGAGAAGTCTCAGTGCCAGAACATAAGCCCTGAAGCAGGCAGGGGAATGTACGCGGGGACAGGAACCACCTCTGTGCCCCCTGTCTGATCCCAGTAGGTATCAGGTCTTTCTGTGAAGCTCAGGGAAACCCTAAGTTAAGGGGCAGATGACCAATAAAGAACGGAATGAATTCATCCCCCAGGCCACCTCTCTACCAATCCAGCCTGCCCAGAGCCTCTCAGGGGGGCAGGGGGTTGAGGACCAGAAAGGACAGGGATGCCACTTTCCCAGTGTTTCTAGGCCTCCCGGTGCTCCAGCAGCAGAGCCTATGGTGCCAGCCATGGCCAGCTGCAGAGGACCCAGTGAGGAAAGCTCCGTCTATTCCTGGGCCCCAAACACTCTCTGGTTCCCCCTCACCTGGTGTTCAGACACCCCATACTCTCCTGTAGCTCAGGGTAGGTAGTCCCCATCACCCTGTATCTGCCCCCCACCCCCAGTAATATTAATCATCACTAGAACTTTTTGAGAGACTCGTACACATCAGGCATCATGCTGGGCATTTTATATATTATATAATTTTATCTTCACAATAATTCTATGACCAAGCAGAACTGGCTTCATTTGACAGATGAAGAAATTGAGGCAGATTGTGTTAAGCACTGTACCGTAAGGTGACATGCAGCAAATTAAATGGCAGATTTGAATCCAGGTCTCTCTGACTCTAAAGCCCATGCTCTTTACATTATAAGGCCTTATCCCCCTATATTGGAGTTGGCCCCAATTTCAATACATGTTTTAGATCCGACCTCCCTGAGGACAGCAACACTCTGTATCCTGGGTCACATTTGTGGCTGAGGCACCCCCTTAATTCCAAGGTGGTCTCCAAGGGTGAGACTTTCAGGCTCTGGGGCAGTCAGCAGGAGGAGATATTTTTGGACAACAAAGGCTGGTGGGCAGGGCAGAGGAGGCACCCCGCCCACTGACCTGTCAGTTTGGCTCAGCCATGTGGACTCCCAGGCCCCGAGCAGCTCTCACGGCTTCTGGTTGTTCAGCAAATTCGCTGGGTGTGGGCTGGCTGAGTGTCCTCCCCAGCCAGAACAGAGCTGGTGGCAAGCCTGGGGCACTTCTTGCTGCTCTGGCCCAGGCAACCCCTCCTCTGGGCCTGGGCAGGGAGGTTAATTGGGGGAATGGACACAAAGAGGGAGGACTGAAGAGTCAGAGCCTCCGGAATGCCCAGCCAGAGCAGTCCAGACATCCAGGACAGAAGCTGCCAGGGGAAGATGGCTCTGCGGAAGATTTATTTGCTCTGAGGCTCTGCAGGGAGAGACGTGTGGGGAACACAGGACACAGGCAGAGTCCTCCCTATGGCCTGCATCTGTCCCGTGAGCAGGGCAACCTGGATGCCAGGCTGAATGGAGGGGAGAAGGCAATGCAGCCGCAATGGCAGGCAGCTTCCGTGGTGTTGGGGAGCCGGCTCCTCCTGCTGCACAGCCCTCACACGATGCCATCAAAGCCCTGCAGGCCACACTTCTTGCCGGCCACCTGGCACCCGAATCTCAGAGCTTCCTGCATGCTCCTCCCTGGAGGAGGGAGAAGTAGCTAGGTCAGCTGGGTGTTTGGAGCAGGGACATGTCCCAGTCCTTGTCCCCTCCTGCTGCTGTACTTACCCTGGGATAGGCTGAAGATGATGGAGGCGTTGAAGGTGTCTCCAGCCCCCAGGGTATCTACCACACGGGGTGGCGGGAAAGCATCCGAGTGGAGCAATTTGCCATCAGGGCCTAGGGCGTCGGCGCCCTCCTCAGCCCAGGCACAGATAAGCACAGCCCTGCAAGACAGCTCCAGTTAGCTGGATGTTAGCCCACCCGTCCCCCAAGTCATCCCCTCAGCCCCAGGGCAGACCCCTGGAGTCCAGGCTCACCCTGTACCCCCTAGAGCCCCTTCCTGGCTTCCCGGCTCACCCTTTCCTCACACGACCATACAAGGCCCTCAGGGCTTCCCCTGCTGACCGGAACCCCAAGTGCTTGGCCACATCTTTGCTGACAAACACCTGTGGGCAGTGGAAGAGAAGCTGGCGGTCACCTCTAACTTGCCACTCACCAACAGCAGCCTGGCATTGCCCCTTTTACAATACGACTCTCCCAACATGTCCACATAGATCCCCAACATAGCATCTCACTGTCCCACGGGAACATGGTTTTCTTTTTTCTTTATTTTTGTAAAGACAGGGTCTCCCTGTGTTGTCCAGGCTGGTCTCAAACTCCTGGCCCCAAATTATTTTCCTGCCTCAGCCTCCTACATTTCTGGACTTACAGGTGTGAGCCATTGCACTCAGCCAGAAACACATTTTTTTTTTTTTTTTTTGAGACAGTCTTGTTCTGTCATCAGGCTGGAATGCAGTGGCACAATCTCGTCTCACTGCAACCTCCACCTCCCAGGTTCAAGCAATTTTCTTGCCTCAGCCTCTTGAGTAGCTGAGGTACATGCCACCATGCCCAGCTAATTTTTGTATTTTTAGTAGAGACGGGGTTTCACCATGTTGGCCAGGCTGGTCTTGAACTCCTGATCTTGTGATCCACCCACCTCGGTCTTCCAAAGTCCTGAGATTACAAGTGTGAGCCACCGTGCCTGGCCAACACATTTTTTTTTTGAGACGGAGTTTCACTCTTGTTGTCCAGGCTGGAGTGCAATGGCGCAATCTCAGTTCACTGCAACCTCTGCCTCCCAGGTTAAAGTGATTCTCCTGTCTCTGCCTCTGGAGTAGCTGGGATTACAGGCATGTGCCACCACGCCCAGCTAGTTTGTATTTTTAGTAGAGACAGGGTTTCTCCATGTTGGTCAGGCTGATCTCGAACTTCCGACCTCAGGTGATCCGTCTGCCTCGGCCTCCCAAAGTGCTGGGGTTACAGGCATAAGCCACCGTGCCAGGCCCAGAAATACATTTTTACTGATGCTTATATATAATAGAATACAGCCTTGTAAATTGTTAAAAGCCCTGGTCAGTTTGTTCAAGGATCAAAGGATTGAAAACCCACAGAAAGCCTTGAGCGCCACCTTGGGGTGGACTCTACCACTGCCATGCTGGCTCCCTGGAGCGGTTTTGCTGGGTTTTCCCACACACAACTATGTCCTCTAGGTATGGTTTCTACATCTGGAAAACAAAGGGGCTCCTTCAACACTAGCTACACTTTAGAATCTCCAGAGATAGTTTTGGTAAAACACACACACACACACACACACACACACAGAAGCCTTGGCTCTACCCCTGCCAATCAAATAAATACAAGATGGTGGGGCTCAGCCATCTTTTTTCGGAGTCAGGGTCTTGCTCTGTTGGCTGGGATGCAGTGGTGCAATTATGGCTTACTGCAGCCAGTTATGGCTCACTGCAGCCTTGAACTCCTCGGCTCAAGCAATCTTCCTGCCTCAGCCTCCTTAGTAGCTGGGACTATGGGTAGACACCACCATGCCAGGATTTTTTTTTTTTTTTTTTGGACAGAGACAGGGTCTTGCAATCTTGCCCAGGCTGGTCTCAAACTCTTGGGTTCAAGTGATCCTCCTGCACTGGCCTCCCAAGGTGCTGGGATTACAAGTATGAGACACTGTTCCTGGCCTAATAATTTCTTTATTTTCATAGAGACAGGAGTCTTGCTATGTTGCTCAGGCTGGTCTTGGACCCCTGGCATCAAGAAATCCTGCCTCAGCTTCCCAAAGTGCTTGGATTACAGGTGTGAGCCACTGCACTGGCCTACATTCTTCTTTTTTAATATGCAGCCAAGGTTGAGGACCTTGGCTGGATGGTCTCCAACCAGCTTCTGCTATGATGTTGGGATTATCTTCCAAATTTCATTTATATCCAGCCTTTCAAAAAGTAACTCATGCAAGTCTCCTTCCCACCCTCGCCTCACCCCTAGTGGCCCCCACAACCTGCAAGACAGCCTTGAGTTGGCAGAAACCTCAGAGAACAGTTGTGTGCCCTCACTGTGCAGCGGAAAAGCCTGGGGAGCCCCAGAGAGGAGATGCTTCCCCACAGGCTTGCCCTATGGCTGTCTAGGCCCTACCCAAGCCCTCTGGGTATTCTTACACCTGTGCACCGTCCTGGGGTGGAGACATTCTACTCCTTGGTCACTGCTGAGGCCTGCACTGGAGCCCAAGGCTATGTGTTTACCTTTTTGTTTTAACCCTCAAACCAGGAACCATTATTCCAACTGTGGTAGGCAGGATAAAAGGACTCTGGCCCCCTTTAAGAACCAAATTAGTGGTCAGCCACAGTGGCTTACTGCCAGTATCCCAGTACTTTGGGAGGCCAAGGCGGGCGGATCACGAGGTCAAGAGATCGAGACCATCCTGGCCAATATGGTAAAACCCCGTCTCTACTAAAAATACAAAAATTAGCTGGGCTTGGTGGTGCACACCTGTTGTCCCAGCTACTTGGGAGGATGAGGCAGGAGAATCCCTTGAACCTGGGAGGTAGAGGTTGCAGTGAGCTGAGATCGTGCTACTGCAGTCCAGCCTGGCGACAGAGCAAGATGCTGTCTCTATAACTCGATCAAGACAGTTGCAGGTGGGCAAAAAACATAAAAATAAAAAAGAAGAAGAAGAAGAACCAAATTAGCTAGAAGTGGCAAAGAGAGGCTGCAGGGGGCACCCACCACGTCTCCATAGCCAAATAGCTGGAAGAGCTCCTCTCGCGGCTTCTCCACCTCCACGGACACCCAGATCTTCTGCTCCGGAGGCTGCCTGGCGTTGTGCGTGTCTATCCGCTCCAGCATCTTCACCTGCTCCGATGCATTCCGGCCCTGGGGCAGGACAGGGCAGCTGAGGACTGCTGAGCACTGCCTGGCCAATCTGGCTCATTCTTCCTGCCCTGCTGAAACTCTGAGTGAGGAGGGAGAGGGCCTGGGGGAGGCTGGGCTAGAACCCCAACCTAAATCTCAAAATTCAGAGCTGTCATGGACCTTGGAGACCTTATCAACCAGCTACACATTCCACAGATGAGAAGACTAAAGAATAACAGAGACTGTGAAAGACCTACCATAGGTTAAATGATGGAGCCAGAACTCAGAACTTCTCAGGATTTCCTCCCACCTAGACTCCAAAACCTCTCTTGGAGTAAAGGTTCTAGTTCCCTTTATTTGGAAGCTGAGTCAGGCCCTGTCCTTCCTGCTTCCCCAGAGGTAATGCATCAGGCCCTAAGCAGTCAGACTTCTGCCAGAGGCAGAGTTGGAGGCGGTGGGGCAGCCTGTAGCACAGAAAGCACAGGACTTGGCCTGGAGCCAGCTGTGCCTACGTTCCGCTGTGTGACCTTGAATAAGTCACCTAGTCTTTCTGGGCCTTGGTTTCCTCACCTGCAGACATAAGGAAGGATGGAGAGGGAATACGGGGGTTGGATTCATTTATCTCTAAGGTACTTGATGGTTCAAAGAAAGCAAGGAGGAGAACGTGTGGAGGATACTGGCAGGTTGAGCCCATTGAAACACAGGTAAGGCAGGGCTTGCCTCAATGTGGATCCACTTGAACCGGGTCAGATCAACCTTCTCAAAGTCCTTAGCAGACACATCTGGCAGGCTCCTAGGTCACAGGATGGAAAGGACAGAGAAGAAAGAGCATGATGGGGTCAGCCAGGGCCAGGGTCTCTAACTGGCAGCTGTGGACCCTGTGCCTGCACTGCCGGCAGAATGGCAGGAAGCTGGATCCACAGCAAAGG